TTCAATCGAGAATAACTTTATGATGCAGACACAAATCGACTAATGTTTCTATGGGGTTATGTTGACAGATGCCCAAGTTATTGTATGACGTCTATGATTTATTTATTTCGACCACCACTTACCGCTAAAGCCATCTATAGAAAAACGGCGGAAGCAAAGTTGTACACCTAATACTTATTTTATTAAAACAGACCCGGCATCAACATTACTTTGATTTTAACGAGACTTAAAGCTCTATCTCGTTTTAAAGCGAAAAAGAGATAGAGACAGAGAAAATTTTAAATCTTGCATAAAATCAAAGTAACATTAGTGCAACTGGGCCTAAGAGCTTTAAATTTGGAATTTCTCTGACACGAATCTCACAAGTATTTTTACTATTTGTATTTGATACTATTTAGTATTTGATCTATTTGAATGTAATTTTTTTATAAAATCTGTTGTTAATTTGAATTTTGTTATAATTAATTTATTTTTTATATGTATACATCGATGTACTTCAGAACATTCAATTTTGGCTAAGGTACATCAATCATTTGACTTTATACATTAACGTAATTATAAAAACTTTAACTCATGATTCCAATTTTTTTTTAACAAAGGAGTAACAAAGGAGTAGTTTTAGTTTGAATTTTTTACTATTCAGTAACGCAATGAAGATTTAATTTATTTATAATATTTATTTATATTATATTCAACCTCTAATATGATTTTAGTAATTTTATTTATATTCATTCTAATATTTAATTGTATTTTGTTTTTGTTTGACTATATTTTGGTTATTGATTTAAAACTTTTAAAGTGCACGTATAAATTCAATAATTATATAAAAATATTCGTCCTAATATGTTTATTAATAACTTTATTTTAGAAAAAATATGTGAAGAAAAAGAAAAAAAAGTAAAACATAGGATTTGAATGTGAGATCTCCAGTTTACTGATCTCGCACTTTACGCGCACGACTACGCAGAGTTCTTACATATTGCATTTATGAACGAGATATATAACGCACATGGAAAATTGTAAATAATTAATATTTTGTAAACTATTGCATTTTAAAAATTTTGCTATTATACATTAATGAGAAAAGTATATAATTACTAAAATTTATTAAAACTTATCTCGAATGCCCTTATACTGATATATATACATCGAGCGATCGAAATTGCTCAGAAAGTATTTTCGATCTTCGGTGTACAGCGACTAGAGCGAGAACGCCGGACTCTTGCTCTCTTTCGCTGTCTCGTTCGCTCTCGACAGGAATTCATATTAGAGTTCGTACGTATATGAATACACAACCACATAAGAAGATGGAGATTATATTATCTAAGTTGGCAGCTCTGAATCCAGAGCTTCAAGATCCTTCCACAGTAGAGACACTCCACGAAAAAATGCGTGTTCGCGCAGATATGGCTGCGCAGCTTTTGTTTTGGGCTGGATCCAATGAAATGCAAGATGATAAGAACGTACATATTACACAGATCCCGTGTAATAATAAATTAATAATAAAAATTCACAATGCACTTTTTTTCCTTATCCCAAGATATTGTAAGGTAAGTTTTTATAATTTACAAAAAGTAAATAGTTTATGCTAGGTTAACTTAATTAATCAAATGTAATTTTGTGAAAAAAGATAATATTTTTACATTCACTACACGTTTACACGGCAACCTTAATTATGTTTTTTAGAGCAAAGTAATGGACTATCGTATGGAGCATTCCTCTTTCAGTTCTAGATTTTTCAAACGTGAATATGACGGATGCTCACGTGACTGCGACCGGAGATCAAAGGTGCCGACACGGACAGATGTCCCTACTGGTTATACTGCTCCTATCTATATTGATCCTATCACATAAGATCTCCAAAGTCAAATCAGACTTGGCCCGTCACTCCTGTCGATCCTTAATCTGGATCAGAATGTACGAATCAGCTTACAATCAAGTATTCCCCTGTTACAGTCGAACGACAGGAGAATGCTCGATTGGTTGATTCTTACATTCTGATCCGGATTAAATCCTCGGTGAAAATTAGGCCAGTGTTATGCCTTCGGCAGCGCAATAATTGTCATGTGCAACACGCGATATTCAATACAGCTTTACCGATATTCTCATTCTAAAGGTATACTGTCATTGAACATCGCGTGGTGTGCCGAAGCCATTATACTATGGCTATGGTCCGATTCATGCCCACAGTGCTTAGGGTGCCATCCCATGTATCGGAATCGGAACGGCGGCACGGATTTCTTACTAGAAATGAATTCACTATCATTCCGTTCCGAGAAATTTGTCTACTGTATCCGAGCATCAGAATGATAGTTCTGCCAGAACGATATAGACGATACGGAATCAACAAAATGTCATGTCGATTGCAGGCTATGTCGATCCAGTTATTATTGGTGGTTGAGAAATTGATAACTTTGAAGAAGAAAATTAATAATAATTCTTATTTTTCAATAGAACATATTCTTGTTTTATTTATACATAGTCCAACTATAATGCTAGCAATTCTTTAAATAATTTCGATGTCATTCTGAAGTAATTGAAGAACTTCATGATCGGTCGTTTTTCAGCAACGAGAATGGATTGAAATTTTTTTCTATCAGAATGCGTATTTTAAATAGCGAATATTTTTTTTTTGGATACAATTGGATTCAATAAGATTCAATTGGATGGAACTGGATTGAAAAACTGTATTTTCTATTCAAAATTTTGTATTGTACAGTATTATTTACAATACAGAAAAAGCATACAGAAAAAGCTAATATTATTTTTAGTTTGAAAGGCATAGAGATATGCTCTAATTGTTCCAAATAAATAAATAAAAATGCATTCAGAATTAAAAAGTATTTATTTATTCATGAATCAATATTTCTGAAAATCTGAATTTATTTCAATTCATTTCAATCTATTCTCATTTGATGGATTGCATTTCAAGAACTAAATTGTCACTTGCGCTTTGGAGACGCATTCTTCGTGTAAACATTGACTGTATCCAGAATTTTCTTATATATTTCTGCTATTGCAATAAAACGTTATAAGCAAAATAAAATTTTCATACACTCTTAAATATCGGAATAGCCGGAAACTTGGCACATTTCTTGCCTTTCGCAATAATTTTAACATTCGTAATAACACTACTTCTTCATCTATCATTTTAGATTTACAAAAAGAGTTTCTGAACATTCATTTCAATTTTTAGATTTAATCAACTGAATATATCATTCCGTTCCATAAAAATTTTTTTCTACCTGTCTCATGTAGCCGAAACCTAATGGAATTTTGATAACAAAATGTATATCACTCTTATAATTCAGTATTTTTGAGTATTCAAAGTAATGTTATAAGTAAGATAACACAAATTATGCATATTATTGCTTTAGTTGCATTAAAATAACAATTAAATTAAGAAAATTAGTTTGCGACCGAGGCGACATTCCGTTTGTTTCCATTCCGGCTACATGGGATAGAGAAATTTCTTACGGAATGGAATTGTAGTGAACTCAATTTTCTAGTAAGAAATCCGTTCCATCATTCCGATTCTGTGTACATGGGACGGCATCCTCACAATTCTCACGATGTTAATAATCGTTATCATGCTATCAACGATTTTATTTCGGATCGCTTATTGGTATGGATACAATCACGAGACTCATAATCTGTGTATACTTGTCAATAATAAATATATGATAAATATATGATATATGGATCATATTGTCAAGTGACGTGCTAGTATCTACCATTTCAGAAAGAAATGATAAAAACGCTCGATGTTGTGTATACATTTTTGCCAAATCACTTCAATGTAATGTAAGTTCGGCAATAATCAACGATATTACGAGTATAATTTCGATCCAATCAATCATATTTAAATAATTGAAATAATTAATATGATTAACTATTATTATTATATATTATATTATTATTATATTATTATCAATTATATTTAATTATTTTTAATAAGCGATTATCCACTACCTGGATGCATCTATTCCACATTCAATTCATATTAGTCCTCTTTTCCCAAATAAAGTGAACGCTTACCTTTACATGGCAGCATCAAATGTCGAACATCGAGAACTTGCTATTCATAAATTTTGATCATGTGATCTGTTTTTAGCGAATAGTAAGCTCATGATGCTCGACGCTTAACATTTGATGCTCCCATGTAGTATCTTTAGGCTGCTTTTTCATGCTGATGCTCGAATCAAGCGTCGAACGTCAGCATAAAAATATAGCCTTATACTGACCCATTTCCGGATTATGATCATCGTGAGCATGCGAATTCAAAAATTCCATTTGACGTCACTTTGCTTAACGCAAAACGTTCAGAAAGTGAATCGAACCGTGAGCGCGTTGATAAGTCTACTGCATACTAGATGATATCCAATAAAAGCTCTGTTTTTTCTCACGTAACGACGCAAAGCAAAGCTCTCATTGGATATGTCGCTCATTGCTTATTGCGTCCAGTGTACAGTAAGCAATAATGCTGCAAGAATATATTCACACAACTTGCATAGTCACATAAATGTTTGCATAATGAAAATTATCCAATTACATTTTACGTGCGTCTTTATGAGAAAAATGCGATTAGATAATTTTTTTATGCATACGTTTATGCGACGTTTATGCAAGTTTGTGTGGATTAAAGCGTAGAACAGATTCTTGCATAACGCATGAGGCATAAGAAATTAAACCAATCAGAATTCTTTATTTTGGAAAGGAAGGAAACGGAAGATTGGTACATTTTTCTTATGCATTACGTGTTATGCGTTATGCAAGAATCTGTGCTCTCCGCTTAAGCATGAATCGGACCGCGGCCTGTGTCACCTGTATAGTGCATACACTCGCCAACAATGTAAATCCAGCGTAAGAACCAATCGGTAGCAGACTGCATTCCGAAATCCATTAAAAAAAAGTTGCAACCTTTTAGTCGGTGAGTGTATGTACATGTGGTTATGGTCTATTATAAACTGGCCCTAATTCCTGAAATACAGCCAAGCGAGTCAAGAAGAAAGACACGTTAGCGGTGGTAAGATGGCAAGCTATTTGACGGATCGAATTTTAGAATATCTGGATACACATGGCGAAACGAATTCGTTATATTTGGCAGATATACTTCAAGAGGATCATCAAAAGATCGTAGGCGCGATCAAAAGTCTCGAGACGATCCATGACGTGAGTCTGTTTCAACAACAGCAATTTCTATCTTGATCGCATATTATTTAAACTCATACATTCGCAACATTCTCAATTGTTTTTGTACATGTGATTTAAATTAACGTGAGACGCGCTTATCAGTAGTTATGTTAAAATATTTCACCTATGAAATTGTTTCTCCGGACGTGTTCAATCAAGTTTACGATCTTTGTAATTATACAGTTTAGTTTGCGCAACTCAAAAATCAATAAAATTAGGCTTCGATGCGTTTCTCTATAAAACGAAAGAATCTGGCAGAAATAAACGTCCTCTACTCCGCAAACCGAGATTGAGCGTTAAATTTGACGACTATTGAGATTATAAAATCTGTCATACTGATTAAGGATATTTTTCAACAATATACACAGATGACAGTTTACTAAACTGACCAGGGTAACACTGGTCGGTATAAGCTGGTATTCATAGTTGGATCTTATATTTAAGACAGTCTATCATCTTAAATATAAAGATGTTATGAATCAATCAAGACTGCATTAGCAACTTAAAACATTACTTAAGACAATCTTAAAATAAGAATACTATAAATATCGGCCAGTGTTACACTGACCAGTTTAGTAAACTAAGCTTGTATTTCAAAATCATTTAAAATAATGTCATAAGACACTAATGCGGCCTTCTGGATGATATTCATAGTCAGTTCTTATTTCAAGATTGTCTTAAGTAATGTCTTAAGATGCTAATGGCCCTCTGATTGGTTCGTGACTCAAGACAGAACTAACAACGTCTTGGATGCAAAAAAACTGAACTATGAATACTAGCCACTGTGTCTTACACAAAATGTTTCAATTGTGATACAGATGTTACACTGCTTGACACTGTAAAAAATTAAGTACACGCATGTAAAATATGTCAATAGTTGCTTTCCATTTACAATTATTCTCACATAATTTTCACTTGTAGCGTCATAACTCAGTTGAATTGCGTTCCTTTTGTATTCTGACAAATGAGATTTAATTGTCCAGATAACAAAACGTTCCTTGGCATAAGAAAAGAAAGAGATGCTTAGCATAAGTTTCTCTTCAATTGCCATCATGTTGCTGTCACCAGGGCAATAATAATTTTAGGTTAGGTTAGGATTAGTTTTACTAATGCCAATCAAGCTTAATCGTGATTAACTGTCAACCGCAATTGGTCGATTAAGCTAACTGATGTTGATAAATTGGCCCCGAGAAGATATTATACGGATAACGATTGTTTATGCAAACGAGCGAAAAGAAATAATTATTCTCACATAAATGTTGCTACGATCTGTTGAAAATCATTTTTATAAAATATTTTATTCATATTTTTGTCAATCAAATGGAATTGGAGTGTCGTCGAGTAATATGCGGTACCGCCACCAGAAGGATGCATCGAATTAAATTTCTCGATTTTAAAAAACAAATACAACAAGAATAAAATAAAAGACGCAGCATTAGAAGATTTTTCAGCTATTCTAATAAAATAATTTTTGAAATGAGCCCCAAGGACTTCTAAGATGAAAGTATAATACTTTTTTGAAATGTTTACCGAGTAAATGAAATCTCCTAATATGTCTCCTTTAATTTGTATTTTATTCTGCATTGTAATTTTATTAGTAACTTACATCTGTCAAATGAGTAAAATGTCTAAAATCAGCTTATAAGTCACTTTAAGATATCTTTAAGATATCTTTCAGAATTCTTTACTCTTTATTCTTAAATTCTTAAATTCTTTATTCTTTATTCTTAATTCTTAAATTCTTTAGAAATATCTTAAAGATATTTCTTAAAAAATTCTTAAAGATATCTTAAAATTCTTTTTTGAGTCGCGATTTTAAACAGGAAAGCATTGTTAGAGATTAACTCTTTTTACTACAACAGTTTCTTATATATTACTGTCAAATTGCTAGCAAATTTATTTTATGTAGAATTAATTTCTGTCATGTTGCCGTGCGATTGTCCTAACCTATAAAACTTATAAAAAAGAAAAGGGAAATTGTTTCCCTCCGGTTATGCAATTTATAGTATATTGCCCCCAATATTATAAGCAAAATCGGAAGCCGCTTTCCTCAAAAAAGATGGCAACTCAGGCGACGTAATATTGTTGCAACATGCAATGTTGCTGCAACTTTGTGCTGTAGAGGTTATAATCTGTAAAAAATCGAGACCGTGCGCTTTAGTGAGTCTCGTAAACTCACTTCAAAAATGAGATTATGAATCTGTGTTGTCATGTGATAACTTTTTACCAAAATAAGCAAATACTGACGTTATTAATCTGAGTGAATGAAATACTCAGCTTACTTCAGACTCACTTCATTTGTGTATAAATGGAAAGCACCTAATGTTAATCAACTTTTCAAAAAGTTATTTAGTAACCATACTTATTTTATAAAATTGAATCGCCAATTCTGAAAAAATTATAACTCTAAATAAAAATCATAAACTTTTATTTAAACTTAAGTCTAAATAAAAATCATCTATTATTTATAAATATAATCATAAGAAATAAATATAATCATAAGAATAAGAATGGAAGACTACAATGCATTCTGTTACACTATAAAACTAAATTGCATTTCAACAAGTACCTTACACACAACATAGAATATTACAGTGGAACACTGTAATGTTCTATGTTTTAGTTCGAAAACAGCGTAAATGTATATCGATATAAGCATGAGCTATAATCACGTGTTCAACATCAATCAATTTCTAAAGATAATTTTCTGCTTTAATTATACAAATATACTTTACAAATACAAATTCACTATTTTAAAAACACAAATTATTTTCTTATAAATATGTTAAACAAGGACTCTTCTTAAAATAACAAAATACAAATTAAATCTGGGCTAATAACAATTAGCGCGAACGAGAGGTGCGCAATAACTTTTTACAAATAAATTTATTAATCCATACGAAGTATTGATATCATCTTTATTTGAAATCTTAAAAAATCTTGAACATTTTGATTCTCTTTGGAATCTTCATCAGCAATCTTCTTTATCCATACTAGATTTAGCGAACGGTCAAGGTTAAATCACTTGCAGGTTACTAAAACTGTAGTGTAATCTGTTTAAATTCATATACTAAGATATTTAAATTCAATCAAAAAATTAACGAATAACCACCCACACGATCGTCAAATTTTATCATGAAACTTTGGATGATATATTAATATTCACAACTAATCACATTTTATGATACATTTTATATAGATTTGTTTGAAGTCTATCCAAACTATCCGGAGTGATGAATATATCTAACGAACCGTTTAAATAAAGGTTGGCTCAACGGAAAGTCATAATAAGTCATAATAAATACAAAATATAAAGACAGTACATTCGTATTAAGTTGCTGATTTTAACATATATAACGTATGTAACATACTTAACATATACAATATCTATATAGATATAATAAGTATAAGAACAGAAAATTATTGTAATAGTTTGAAATATAATTTGATACAAGAGTTTAAGCGTCAAAAAGAATATAGAATAATCAGTCAAAATTTAACGCGTCACATACCTCTGTGACGTTGGCACCTCATTTTTCAAAAAATGAAATTTTGGTCAAAGTTCCAAATGCATCCCGAAGAGTTCTGGAGTTCCTGCTCAAAATTAAAAATAGTTCCGGCGAATTAATGTAAAAAAAAAATTAAAAAATTTGGGGTGCTAACTTCACAATGAAGAACGAAAAATCGCGATATCTTCTAAACCATTAAACTTAGCGCCTTAAATGATAACTTTTGATAGAACTCTTGGGGTGCTATCCAGAACTCTCAATAGAACTGCCGTAATGTTAAAAAAATTTTTGTCCCTCAGATATGACATAATCAGATATTCAAAAAATTATGATACCTTTTAAACCGTTGGTCCTAACGCTTCGAGTGTTAATAACTTTCGTTAGAACTCGCGGGGTGCTACCCAGAACTGTCGACAGAATTGCCAGAACTTTAAAAAAATTTTCACCCCTCGGGTATTAGCAATTTTCGATTCGACGAATGAAAAATCGCGATATTTCTTAAACTATTGGTAATAACTTTGAGCGTTAATAACTTGTGCGTGCGCGCGCATGTTTGTCTGATATGATCGAATGTGTCTGATGAATTGTGATTTTGGTGAAATGTGATTGAAATCATTGATTGATAACTATTGAATTTGTTAAAAATGTTTTTAACTATCTTTGTATATAGTTTCAATTCTGTGTACCTACCATAGTACAATATATGATTAAATGTTACTTCATCATCTGATTTCCGCTTAGTCATCATATCATCATGTCATATAATATCATTGAGTGTCATATACGAATGCTATATAATGCCCGTTATTTTTGTCGCTGGCATATTGATGATATGATACTACACCAGCTAGAATGTAATTGTTATCATTCATGTTCAATTTTTTGGATTTTATAGATCCAAGTGCCGCACTCTATTTCTCGATACCAATGGAAGCAGCATATTGTCCATCCGTAAACACACTGCAATCTATGAGTAAATGCGATTGAAAGATAAATTTTTCGAGAACATTTTCATGGCCCTTCTTGCATGTTGAGGCTTTATCGTAATTAGTGTCCAATATAGCGTTTCGCAGTGCCGAAAGACCGTTTTGTAAATGTTAATATTAATATTTATTACTGGAATTTTTCGCAAATGTTCTGATGACCCCGCGAGTTCTAACGAAAGTTATAATATTAACGCTCGAAGCGTTAGGACCAACGGTTTAAGAAATATCGCGATTTTTCGTTCGTCGAATCGAAAATTTCTATCCGAGGAATGACAATTTTTTTAAAGTTCTGACAATTCTGTCGACAGTTCTGGATAACACACCACGAGTTCTATCGAAAGTTATTATCATTTAAGGCGCTAGGTTTAATGGTTTAGAAGATATCGCGATTTTTCGTTCTTCGTTTTGTGAAGTTAGCATCCCAAATTTTTTAATTTTTTTTTTTTTTATATTAATTCGCCGGAACTATTCTTAATTTTGAATT